AAAAAGTGGCACATGATCAGCATGTCGTTGGTGATGACTCAGTCATGTACATCAATTCGAGAAACTTCTTCCTTGCACTCCCAACACTTTTTGGCACTTGAAAAAGCCAAACCTTGTGAAAAATAATTCTGTGCTCTGATGTTTTTAAGTCACCTAAAGACCATCCTTGAAATTATTGGCAATTAAATACAATTTGTGCCAAAAATAATTTGACAAAAATAAATGCCCCCTTACATAAATGCTTCCCGTTTTCCCATGAGGGGAAAAAAAATAAAATGCAAAGAAAATACAAAGGTAATGTGAAGAAAATTTCCTAAATATGAGAAAAAAAATTACTGTTTCAGAAATTAAAAAATATATATATATATATATATTGCTTTAAAACGTACCAAACTATATAGATATAAAACATATTTTGAAAATACTACCCAAAAAAACACAAATATTACACACAGAAATTTGAACTCCAAACTTTCAGACGAAAAATGACAGTCCCTCAAAGTAGCAGCAACTCAATTCAATTCATCCCAAAATAAATTGACATCAATAAAAATGGCTCAATTTTCCACATCACGACGAAAACGTAACAAAGAATGCGTAAAGACAAGATGGAAAAGTTCACTAGTAGAACATTGGACTTAAAGAAAGGGTGCCATATTAGAATCCATCCTTCCACAAAATACTGTAGCACTCAATGGAAAAAAAAATACAAAAATGTTGGGGGGTTTTTTTCATTCGCAACTAAAGACAATTTGTGCTCAAATAAATTGACAAAAATAAACACCTCTCTTAAATAAATGCCTTCCTATGGTATGTTGGGGCCGGCGGGGGTTATTGAAAAAAATAAAAACAATATTGGATTGAAAAAATGTGCAAATATTAAACCACATTTAAACTGTAGCCCTGCAAATGGGTAGTTGTCGTTCCCTTTGACGTTTCAACATTTCACCCTCCTAGTTTCCCTTTGGTCAAACGTCCTCATGCAGTTCAACCCCAACTAATCCACTTTTCTTGATGTCCGAGCTTTTCGAGCCACCCCGCAAATGTGACGTTTGAGGGAGAGAAAAAAAAAACGCTGCCTCTTGTTGACAGTTTGTCATTGTGGTTCTTGTTGCTTTTTATGCCCTCAGACTGGCAGAAGACGGAAGCCCAGAAGCGTCGTGAACAGCTACTGCTGGACGAGCTGGTCCTTCTGGTCAACAAACGGGATGCCCTGGTCCGGGACCTGGACGCCCAGGAGAAAGAGTAAGTCGCAGGCGCACGCTAGCCCTGCTCTGATACCAAATGCTAACATCATCATCATCAACCAGCAGCAGCATCTCCTAAGCGATGAAAAAAAGTCATTCCTAGGGGAGGCGATTAGAAGTACCTTGACGACATGGGTGGGGGGGGGCCCTCTTTCCTGTCAAGACTCGAGAGATCAGTGTCGAGAGTACTGGGGTGCTCTCACCTCTTTGTTTACAAAAGTGACGATTGATCAATAAACAAGTCCTTGAAATGATTTCTTGCTACTATAGGGAGCGCGGTACATGTTATTTCCTCAAATAGTGTGTCCCTCACATTAATGGCAGGCATCTGCATGAAATTACACCAAGAACAAATGCCTGCCTCAAATAAATGGGTCTCTTTTTCATGCCAGAAAAAGAAATCGCATTTCGGAAAAACAAAACGAAGCGTAATCTGTCGTCGATGAACGAATAAACCTTTCTTCTGAGGGTGCAAAAGAGAGTCATTTATTTACAAGAGCCGTTGCGTTGATTCAAGGGAGGCATTTATTTTTGTCTTCTACCGCTCATCTTAGGGACAGACGCCATTTGAGGAATATGGTCGTTGATGGGTCTTATCGTTGCCACACCGACTTGGAAGAGGTCGCCGCTGCGCTAAATTTGCAGTTTGTTGTAAGCCAAATAGCAAAATCGCGTTTATGATTGAAGGAAGCTTTATTGTGAGATGAGTCGATTCGGGTTGATTCAGTTGCATTACGATTCGATTCGAGACGGCTGAGTTCGAGAGGGTATGATGCATTCAGTGTCTTGTTGTCCTTCCTATAGCAGGTTTCGCCAACGAAAGACGATTCGATAAGTTTGTCGATGTATTTTAAAGTGGAACAATTGGATTTGGTTCAATTTGATGCACTCACATCTTTGAAATCCAAATCAAAAATTGATTTTCCAATTCAAATCATTTTTTGTTTACCTGTTTTGTTTTTTTAATCCTTATGTTCTTTTGATTTTCTTTTTTTGACATTATTTTGATGCTTTTCATGTAATTTTGATTTTTTTGGGGGGGGGGGTTGTTTTGGCATCAACCTTAATTTTTGCTGTTTTTTTTTGCCATTTTTTGATGTTGCTCTTTGTGTCAATCATAGGGCCGAGGAGGAGGATGAGCACCTGGAGAGGACGCTGGAGCAAAACAAAGGCAAGATGGCCAAGAAAGAGGAGAAGTGCATCCTTCAGTGACAACACAACAACGTCAAGAGCAACACGAACAAAAGGATTGTACGCGTGGCGTCATGTCACCTTGTTTGGTGGTTTTACCATTTTCATGCTTTAAAAGCGGTACTTTTACGGGGATTTTTATGGGTATTGTGATGTAAACGGAAACGGTCCAGGTACAAAAATGTCTGATGTTTTGGTTTGATTTCTGATTTTGGACAGTGAGCAGGTGGAGTTTTTCAAAATCAAAAAAAGAGGCCAAAAAATTGTTTGTATCTTTTATTTCATTCACTTTGCATCTTTTTACTGTAAAAAAAAAATCTTAAATTGTCCATAACTACTTGTTCTTATTTTTTTTCTTTTGCTTGAATGCAGTTTACCAAAAAAGAAAACTTTTTTTTCTCACGAAACTTTTCTGTATATTTTCCTCATAAAAGCTTGCAAGAATATGCTTTTTTCTCTCAAAGAGTCATGCAGTCAAAGTAAAAAAAAAGTCTTATTTATTGTCCTATAAGCTGCTTGTATGTAAAACTACTATCACTTTGTTTTCCTGTTTGAATTCCTATTTATTGAGGTTTGCTTCCACGTGCATCTTCTTCTATGAGCTCTCACATTTCCACTTTTATTTATTCCACTGGCTTCAAGACCAACCTTCAATAAAGTCCTTGTACATTTCATACTCCACTTAGAGTTGCTTCCAGACTTTTTTTTTTTGCTATTAAAATTGTTTTGCTCAAGGTTTTTACATGTTCTGTAAGAAAAAGGGTGGGTTTCTTGAAAACTTTTTTTTTGTAAAATGGTGGTTGAAACATTTTTATTCGTTGAATTCTGACTAAAACTGAAATAATGGAACAAACCTTTATTCTTTTTAAGATTTATTGTGTGTAATTGTTAAAAGTGGTCCACTGAGCACAAGGATCAACTCAATTTTTCCCCATGCTGTTTAATTCCCCAGCGAGTTAACTCGTGGAATTAATTCACTTTGATTGAGCATGCGGGTCATCGTCAATTGCACCATCTCCAAATTTTTCATGAAAAAAAAAAATCTAAAATCTTCGCGAGACTTCCACAGCTCCGGTGCTCCACAGCGGCACGCTGGCGGAAGCGTAGCTGGCGAGGAGGCGCTGCGTGGCGGCCTCGTCCCACTCTTGATTCACCCCCTCCCTCCGTGTCTCTCGTAAGGAAGGCGAACAAATGAAGAGTGACAGCACACCTCTTCTTCCTCCTACTCCTCCTCTTCCTCTAACTTTCACATTATTAATCAGCCCCACTTGACTTTGTTTTATTACACTTGTCACATCAGGGATTAAAATTAATAGAATAGATGAATTAAAATGGGACAGTTGAGGGGGGAGGGCTCTTTTTTGATTGTCGACTCGGATGACGCTGTCAAAATATTTTTCTTCCGTCTCCTATTTTATTGCACAATGACACGATTATATGATTTAAATTATATTTTTAATATTTTGTAAAGTTTTGTATGAATTAATTAATTTCCACGCACATTTATCAAAGAATAAAGAATCCTTACCAGCCATTATTGAAATCTCAAAAAAAAAAAAAAAAAATCCTCTCGTACGAGTAAAAAGAATCCATATCAACACATCCATAGGCCCCACGTCCACGACCGCGTCCACTGCACTGGTGCTGCTCCATCCTGCGGATGGATTTATGGAAGTATAGATGGATGAAGGAGGGATGGAGGGAGCAACTTTTCCCTCCTCCTTCTCCTGGCCGCCTTAATCCTGAGTTTTAGCGGCTCAGAAAGGAATTCAAGCACAATTTGGGATTAGACAAATAATCTTCGGGACCAAAAAAAAAAGAGATGCCTGATTGCTTGATACTTGTAGTAGATGACTAGAAAAAAAGGAGCAACTTTAATTCCTTCTGCTTTCTTTTTGCATCATTTCCACAAATAAAGCAGGCGTTCTCACGCTGCCTGTTTTTTTTTTTAATCAGGCAATTTAGGGGGGTCTTCTACAGAATTCCAAACTAATTTCAAAAACAACCTCGCTCCTGCTTCTACTATGAAATATTTCTATTTATCATAAAGTGTGTGTGTGTGCGTTTGATTTGCGGTGAAGGTGCTCCCTTATTATTCAACTTTACGTCCTCAAATGTAATTCTAAATGGGGATTAGAACTCATTAATATTCATGAGGCTGGCCGGAGTGTATTTACGTGCATGTGAGTGTGTTGTGTGTGCTCCTCGTTGTGTGTGTTGCGGATGTAAAAAAATAAACTCCAAAACATTCATTTAATGTTTATTTCATTTTTAGACGGGAAAGACTCACTACCAAAAGCCAGGCGTATGTTAGAGCTTAATGAAAATGAAAGAAATTCGTTTGACACCACATTGCACCTGCTTAATTATATTATCGTTAAATTATTCCGTATTAACCAAAAATGTAATGCTTTCAATAAAACCGAGCATTTTTACTATTTTTAAATTGTTTTTTTTTCTTTTTTAGCAATAATATGTGCGGGAACTTTCGTTAAATAAAAGAAAAATCTTGAGTACTGAACAAGCATTTGGATGTCAAATCCTTCCAAAAATTTAAAAACAACAAAAAATGACTTAATCCTGGAGAAAAATAGAAGACCTCCAAATGAAGAGAAACTGTCCGATTTTACCACGTCTAAAAGTTAAATAAAACTAAAGAATAACATTTTAAAACTCTTTCTTGAACAATAAAGAACTGAAATCTTTTCATGGTTTTACATTTTTGGCAATCCTACAGTTTTATGTTTTTAAACGAAAACAAGCAGAGGAGGCCTTCAGAGGAAAGAAGGGAGAAGAACGAGAGGGAAAAAAAGAGAGAGAGAGGGTGAAATGGGCGTGTGTCCCTGCGTCTCTCTACTCTCTTATTGGCCGCTACGCCCATCTCTCATGCAAAAGCGGTGCTCCCATTGGCTATCGGAGGCGGGCCCGGCAGGTGTCAGCGTTCTCTTAGAGGCACTGGGCTGTTGGAAGGCCTCCATTAGCTTCACCAAAAGCTCCGCACACACACTACAACCGTAACCCATATACGCGACACTACTCTGCCCCGGGACGAAGAAGGACCCGCCAACGCCGGAGCCCCACCGGAGTCTCTTCCATAGCTTTTGTCAGCCGACATGTCGAGTGCTTTTCAAGCCGAAGGAGAGCGACTGTAGGCGGCTTGCGTCCTTTCCTACTTCCCGTTGCTGCATTTGGATACTTTGAATTCATTTCATTTGTTGGGAAGGAGAAAGAAAGACAGGAGATACACAAGGTGACTGCGAGTTTGATGACTTTTTACGAACTTTTGTTGAAAAATACGTTTTAAAAAATCTCTTGTAAATGTAAATGTAAAATATTTTCGTTCAACATGATCGTCATTAAAGTTAAGTTACGAGCTTTAAGCTCATGGAAAAAAAGGACAACAAGAAAAAAAGTGTCATTTACACAACAAAAGTAGCACAGTACATGACAAAATGGCTTTGAACTCATCTTAAAAAAAAGAAAACATGTTTATTGTTGGGTCTCAGTTGATCAGAATTGAAACGATTATCTAGCAAAAACACACACAATTGGCTTTTTTGTCTCTATATTTTCATTGTATAACGTCATTTTCATAAATTCCTTTTCTGCACATTTTTTTTCCCAAATGCGGTTTAGTTAATTGTTCATCTCACATTTTTCTTATTTCTTTATTATTGGTTCTCCGCTCATCTTAATTTTATTGATAAGCTTGTGTCAGGAAAAAAAAACGGTACCCAAGTTCATTTTCTGGTCATGTCATCCAAATGTGTCCTTGGTTTTGCATTTTGTTATTGCACACAAAATCAGCCCTTACCCATTTTTTAAAGATAATTGAAATATTATTTCGTCGCCGTTTAGCATAAAAAGCAAAAACGCCAAATACAGACCATTTTATGGCTTTTCGTTGAATTTCTTTTAAATTATAAATTAGCATTTCCCCAACATTATTGTGAATGTAGTCAATGACGTGTCCTGGGCCTCCAGTTAAAAAAACAAAACAAAACAACTGCAAAAGCCATGACAAAAACAGTCTTATAAAAACTGTGCATACATTATTTTAATGAAAAAAAAAACCCCACTGACATTTACGTATAGGTGCAATGGATCATTTTGAAAAGATGAAAGTTTTTGGGTCACAACTTTTTTTTTTGTGGTCAATTAAAGTGTGGAAGCTGAGTTGCTGCAAACGATAATGAGCGGTGGTTAATTGTTTTTGGAATTGTTTTCAATTGTTTGCTGGCTGATAAGAATGCTAAATTGGAATGGGGGACCGGCGGGGGGTGCCGTGGGGCGGGGAAGCCTCATTTGCACGCAGATGTTTTCTTGTCTGCTTTTGAGCGCAATACACGTCCGCCCTCGTCGAGAGAATTCAACGCAGTTTTGATGGCAAACGATCCCAAGCAAGCAAAATGACAATTTCTCATTGGCTGCCCCCCGCCAAAAAAAAAAACAAATCGTTGGACTTTTTTTCCTCCCCGAATCTCCTGAATTTCTTCTTCAAACATTGAGCAAATAATGTATCACTATTTAATGATTTTTAAAATGATCTCAAATATCATTCACTGATTTAATCAAATATTTATTTAGCGTCCCCCCCCCGACTAGATAATTTTTTTAAATAAACACGCGTGAGCTAGCACTGAATAGGTTCCCGTGACTGCCTTGATCGAATTAGAATCGATATAATTTCAAACACTGCTAAGAAAATAATGAGCTGTGATTTTTCTTCACAACGTATGCAATGTTTTGCTCATGCGAACTTAAAAAAACAAGCAAACCTGCATTCATGTGCATTTATTCCATGAAAGTTAACCCTTTCATTTTCAACTAAATATTAACCCCCAGTTAAAAAGAATGTATGACATGTTTTTGCACTTACTTTTGGATTTAAAAAAATATTTAAAACTTGTGAAATGCAGTTAAACACTTTATAATAACGATTATTGACAGGAACTTTTTTCCCACGAGTTTTAAGAGTAGCACTTGCACTTTTTGTTTTGCGAGTTTTGCCAGACAGACAAAAAAAGTATAATTTTTATTTGTTTTTTAGTGATTAATATTTAACCAGTAAAAAGCACTTAATTATAAATTTTACACACATTCTCACCAATAAAAGAGCTCCATGATACATTTAAATGTGATGAGCAAGATCGTTGTCAAACTCATGGCTGGGGGGCTGGAGCCAGCCCACCACCACATTTTATGATGCCCACAAAAGCAAATTAAATGGCTCCTTCAGGTTTCTTGCTAAATGGATGTGTTATTTATGGGGGATCTTCCCAAATTTCAAAATAAATGACCCAAATAAAGAGATTATAGCCTCCTTTGTCTTTCCACGTTTCTCAAACGATTCAAGGCACTATTCAGATAATTTGGGACATCGTGGTCATGATCCTCATTCCCCAAATAAATGGTTTTCAAACTCCAATCCCCAAATCAACACACACACATATATATTTTCCGTCCTTCCACATTTCTCATCAGATTCATACCACCGAAGTTCAAACTATTTGTATAATAATAATAATACATTTACATAAACGTCAACAGAGTTTAGGGGGCATCTTTGAAACAATCCTAAAACTATCATAATCACATTTTCAAAATAAAATTCCCAAAGAAGAGCTTATTTCACCTCCTATTTTTTTATCTTGATTGGTTCAAACCACCCAAACCTTCTAAAGATTAAACTCCTTTTAAGGGATATCTTGTGAATTCTTACAAATCGGTTCCAAAATTTTCGAAGAAAAAAATCATTTACCTCCTACTTGCAGGTTTATTGACTGATTCAAACCATTCCTACTTTTAAATATTGAACTCATTCTGGACATTTTGGGAACTATTCCCACTCTGATTTTCCAGAATCAGGTTCCCAGGTGAAGACAGATTTGACTTTATCTCCGTCATATTTCTACATGTTTTGAGATTCCAACTTTATAAGAGTCAACTCCCGTCAGGACAACTTCCGACCCCAAAATGTGCCAATAGTCCGCCTGTAAAAATGTGACGATCCAGCCCGAATGGCTTTCTGGAGGAAAGTTTGTGACCGTTTTTTTTTTTTTTCCTTTTCCGTGGCGGCGCCCGTAGCGAGTCGCCTCGGGCCCTCGCGTCCCGCCAAGCTGCAGCATCCCCGGGGCCGAGCGGCGAGCCAGTGGGCCGAGCTGGGCGGCGCCACAGTGAGCGCCTGTAGCATGATGTCCTACCTCAAGCAGCCTCCCTACGCCGTCAACGGCCTGGGGCTGAGCGGAGCCGCCATGGACCTGCTGCACCCCTCCGTGGGCTACCCGGGTACGCACACACGCACGCTCCTCGGTTTCTCGTTTCCCCCGTGACGTCACGCGCCGACTATTAAATATTAATTTGCTTTGGACTCGTGCGCGAACATGTACAGTTCTCTGCTTATGGACTAACGTGTCTTTGTTCCATACATGTACTCTAATGTAACTCGAGAGTTAAGGTGAAGACTTGATCGCTTTTTTTTTTAATTGATTCCTCAATTGTAAGTGCTAATTTGTTGACACTAAAACGATTTCGAGGCTTTTCCGTTCATTTTGATTGGTAATAAATTCGACGTAGTGTCAATCAAATGAAAACACTTTAATAATGCAGAAACGAAATTGGTTTACTGATGGCCCGGCAGCAGGGAGCAATAAATTGTGAAATGGCGCATTGGCACAAGAGTAGTGAATAGGTTGAAAAAAAGCTTTGATATCGTGATTAAGGTAGTGTGCGAGAGTTAATCTTTTCCTTAAAATACTCCTGAACGAAAAACAGTACAAAACTACATGTTCTCACCATTAGAGACACGACTTTACAACTTGACAATTACGAGTCCTAACACACGTCATTTCATTGGGTCTTCAATTGTCAGCGTCCTAGATTATTGATAATCAAGCCTAAAACACAATTTCTTGGCTTTTCTATTCATCTTTAGTGTCATAAAATCGTAAACATTCGTTATTTGTACACACGATGAAGGTTATCCCGTGTTTTTGGCTTTCAAAAAGTATTTAAAATATATTTTTTTCAAAGTACAAAAGTTGTACTAATTCGCTTTTGTTCTTTGTTTCTTAGTGTATTATAAAGCAAACACACACATTCGCTTGGCTTTTGCATTGATTTTTATTGTAACAATACATTGAATACTTTCAATGTTAGATAGATTATAAAGTTGTGTCCCGGACCTTTATCTTAAAAAAATACATAAAAATTGTTGCTGTAAAAATCGATGCACTGTATGCCCCCCACGTAAAAACTAAAAAAAAAAAAAAATCACACAATCGCATGAATAGTTTGAAGAAACAATGCCAACAGCTCTGGTTGATGTAAGTGCTTGACTAAAATATCAAAATGAAATTTTACGGTGTGTATTATTAGTTGCAATTTTAAAATTAAGTCCACTTGAAGAAAGTTCTTCTCAGCACACGTCTGATTAAAAAAAAGTCCGAATTTAAAAAAAGAACAAACATACAAAAACCTGAGTTTTAACACTTAAGCTTCGTGGGGATCTTTACCTGTGCTAGTCCGAATTTAAAAAAAGAACAAACATACAAAAACGTGAGTTTTAACACTAGGCTTCGTGGGGATCTTTACCTGTGCCATGTTGTATTGTTAGCGACGCCCAGGAAGCAGCGTCGTGAACGGACGACATTCACCCGATCTCAGCTCGACGTCCTGGAGGCTCTGTTTGCCAAGACCCGCTACCCTGACATCTTCATGCGGGAGGAGGTGGCTCTCAAAATCAACCTGCCAGAGTCCCGCGTCCAGGTCGGCGCATCCACCACACACACGCACTCACTTTAAAACACACATGACACTTTTTTTTTTTTTGAAGCCGGATAAATAATGACCAGATGCTATCAAGATGCTCGAAGCTAATGGGCTAATTCATTAGCCCAACAGGCGGGCTCTCTAAGTTGATTTACGAGGTCATTAATAACATTCAGTTGTCACTTCAAATCACTTTGGAGCAAATCGCATGTGTCGTCAATGACTTTGGTTTAAGTGTTCACACTTGACTTTTATCGGCCCAATTAGCGACGTTTTGAACTCGTGAGAAGAACCTAACTTGTGTGTCGCCATTTTAAGTCTGAAAAAAGTACCATTATTCAAATAGAAAATGGCGTCACGTTTTTTTTCATCTAATTATACTCAGTAAGCTGATATTGAGAATTAACAGTCATTTATGACTCACATAAATATAAACCATTCATGATTTTTCAGAGACAACCTGCAGTCAAGTGTAAGGATTTATTTGATACATTTAACATATCAGTATTGTACCAGCACCGATGTGGCTGTGTAACTTCATAAAATGCATATAAATTAAGTTGGCTGGCATTGGTATTATTTGTTTAGATTTATATGCATAAAATAGGAAGTAATGTGCTAGAGAAGATTTCTGGTGGTAATTTTGTTGTCAAGGCTGAATCAAAGAACAGACTTAACCTTGTGGTTCTCACAGGTGGTTTAACCTCCTATTTCCTGTTGGAGAAAAAAAACACACAATTTGATTTTTAAAATGTACATTTGATTAAAAAAAGAACAGCCAATGAGAGTGTGCCAAATCAACAACAAGGAAAAGGTAATTTAATAAACGTTTTGTGATGTGGTTTAGGACTAAATGAAGCCTTGAGGTGCACGAAGAGCACCCGAATACAAGGAACTCCCCTAAAAATATAAAATGAAAATATATATTGGATGGAAAAAAATAAATGTGCAACAAATTATTTATTTATTATTATTGTTATTATGAAAGCTCACTAGATGAATAAGATATGTTGCATAACAGTGCTGTTTTTTTTTTTTCTGACTTCTCTCCAGAGAGTAGTCTCGTTGGTTGGCAGGGTTTAACACACAAATTGAAGCCGAGGTGTTTAGTAGGCTGTAGGGCCTGTAATACCTGTCGAAAAAGCAAAACACATTTGATGGTGGGGAAAAAAAAGTACATAGCTGACAACAAAAAAAACAAAACACCTGCTCAATGGATCCGTGAAAAAGTTGTGTTCAAGTAATGAATATTCCCTAAATTCTTTCCAGAAGAATAAGTGCATAAACCATGTCGGCTGCAGGCTTCTCTCCACAATTTGATTATTGAACTATACATTGGATGAAAAAAAGTACATTGGCATTAAAAAAACAATCATAAAACACAGCCAAATTGATAGAAGCAAAGTTTAATGTTGTTGAGGTTTCTGACTTAGTCCATGTAAGCCTCTAAATGCCAGAGGAATAAAGAAGTGCTTATTTTAAAGACATCACTTCTACTATTCTCTCTCTCCCTCTAGTAGACCCCCGTTAGTCCGGGAACCCCAGGTTGAGAACCACTGGTTCCAGAATGTTTCTAGTGAAGGAATTGCTCCTCATTTTCCCCACGCAGAAAGTGCGTTAAGGTGTTGTGTGCGTTTCCAGGTGTGGTTCAAGAACCGTCGGGCCAAGTGTCGTCAGCAGCAGCAGAGCGGCGGGGGTGCCAAGGCGCGGCCCCCCAAGAAGAAATCGTCCCCGGCGCGAGAGAGCACGGGTTCGGAGAGCAGCGGTCAGTTCACGCCGCCCGCAGTCTCCAGCACGGGTTCGTCCTCATCCTCGTCGGCGGCATCCAATCACGCGGCGGCGGCGCTGAGCAGCAGCGCGGCTCCGTCCATCAGCACCGTGTCGTCCATCTGGAGCCCCGCCATCTCCCCGGGTAATGCCCCCGCTCCGGCCGCTGCCCCCTCGGCCGCCCCGCTCCCCGAACCCGGCCCGCCCTCCAACGCCTCCTGCATGCAGCGCTCCATGTCGGGATCGGCCACCGCCGCCACCTCGTACCCGATCTCCTACAACCAGACGGCGGGCTACGGCCAGGGCTACCCGGCTCCTTCCGGCTCCTACTTTGGGGGCGTGGACTGCGGCTCCTACCTGGCACCCATGCACTCCCACCACCACCAGCTCAGCCCCATGGCCGCCTCATCCATGTCGGCCCACCCGCACCACCACATCGGCCAGTCCTCAGGACACCCCCACCACCACCACCCGCACCATCACCATCACCCGCATCAGGCCTACGGAGGCTCCGGACTGGCCTTCAACTCGTCCGACTGCCTGGATTACAAAGAGCAGACGGCTGCCTCATCCTGGAAACTCAACTTCAATGCTTCAGACTGCTTGGACTATAAAGACCAGACCTCATGGAGGTTCCAAGTCTTGTGATAGCCGAGTTTTATTATCCCCCGAGAAAAAAAGCAGCCGGAGCGCTTGGAGCCTGAGCGCTCGGGAGATGGAGCATTCGGGAGCTGGACCACACTTGACTCTGAACATTCTTGGTCCGGAGCATGTTTTGCTACGTTTGTAAGAAGGTGCGTTTGGGAGCCGGAGTGCTGGGGAACCCAAATTCCCGGGAGCCAAAGCATCCAGAAGCCAGAGCCCAGAACTCGATGAGCCGGAATGCTTCTGCTTCATGGTGCTCCGAGCTCCTGAATGTTCTTGAGCTGGAGCGCTCAGGAGCTGTCATATTACAGCTTCAAGAATTGTGCATTTGGGGCATTTTCCCCTTCAGACGTGGAACTCTGGGAGCTGGACTTGCTCCTCCTCCTGAGCGCTCTGGCTACTGAATGTTCTTGAGCAGTAACCCTCTGGGTTCAAGAATTCCGAGTTTGGAGCATGTTCTACTCCAGACATGGAATTCTTAAAGCTGTAGTGTTTTGAGCTCGCAAATGCCCCGACTCCTGAAC